GAGGTGAGTGGACCATGGGGGCTCTGCCCTCATGAATGGATTAATGGGTTAATGGGTTAATGGGTTGTCATGAAAATAGCTTGTGGCTTTATAAGGAGAGGAAGAGAACACATTTGCATGCTCCTGTCCTCTTGCCATGTGACTCCCTGCACCACCTCAGGACTCTGCAGAGAGTCCCACCCAGAAGAAGGCCCTCACCAGATGTGCCCCCTCAACCTTAGACTTCCCAGCCTCCAAAACTGTAAAAAATAAATTTCTTTTTTTATAGATTACTCAGTTTCAGGTATTCTGTTATAAGTGAAAGAAAACAGACAAGACAGCCTTGTAATCCCGGTGGGTTGTCTGCATCTGGGAGGGAATAAGGACAGTGCCTGACAGGGGCCTTCCAATGGCCGATGGCATTGCCAAACCCTTCACCTGTGTGCCAGACCCCATGCTAAGTGCTTTCTTTACATTCTGCTTCCTCATAATCCTTGCAACAACCCATTTTACAGATAAGGATACTGAGGCTCAGAGAGGTGAAATGGCCTTTGGCCTCAAGGTTGCCACAGTAAAGGAGGGGGAAACGAGTTTCCCAGACATGCCAAGCATGCCTCCTCTAGCCCCCCGGCCCACCTACCTGCATTTCCTGTGTCTGGAACACTCTACTTCCTGCTCACCCCATCACAGCACCTACTTATCTCATGGGGCTGAAATTGCTTTTTCTTCCCCATTGGACTGTGAGCAACAAGCCACATCAAGGCACTGCTGTGGCCTCGCACAGAACCCAGATCCTGGCACATCGAAGGCTCTCATTAACACCTTGCCAGAGGAGGGCTGGCTGGTTGGCTCAGTCAGTTAGAGCTGGTACTGATAACATCAAGGTCCAGGGTTTGATCCCTGTACCGGCCATCTGCTGCCATCCCCCCAAAAAATTTGCCAGATAAATGGAAGGGAGGGAGGTGTCTTAGTTCCTTTGTGCTGCTATAACAAAGTACCTGAGACTGCATAATTTATAAAGAACAGAAATTTATTTCTCACAGTTCCGGAGGCTACAATGTCCAAGATGAAGGTGCCAGAATTGGTGTCTGGTGAAGGCTGCTCTGCTTCCACGATGGTGCCCTATTGCTGCGTCCTCTGGAGGGGAAGAACATTGCATCCTCACATGGCAGAAGGGATGGAAGGGCAAGAGAGGGACAAATGCTGTGTCCCCGTGTGGCAGAAGAGCAAAAGGGGCTAAGCTAGTTCCCTCCAGCCCTTTGGTAAGGCAGTAATCCATTCAGGAGGGTAGAGTCCTCTCGACTTAGTAGCTTCCTCAAAGGCCCCCACATCTTAATTCCACCACAATGGGGATTAAGTTTCAACAGATGCATTTTGGAGAGGACACATTCAAACCATAGCAGGAGGGCTTTGGAAAATTTGCTACAGCCCAGGGGAACATTGGCCCACAGTGGAGAGGGTGCATCGGGTGACTGCAGTTTGATGACTCACTGCTCACAACACTCTTGCTCAGAGTTCATGTTCCCTGAGCATCTTCTGCCTGATGTCAAGCTTCATGTGGAGATTTGCATTGATTCTGGTTCCCAGTGGAGGTCACATTTCTTATGGTGACTCAATAAAACGGCTTTCTGGTTTAGACATCAGTCTACTTTTGGAGAGGTGGGTCATGTTTGAGGGCACTGACTGGCAAAATAGAATTTCTTAACCTATGGGAGCAGACCTGTACAAACCCACACCCAGGAGGAACCCAACTACCTGCCTGTCCTATTGCCCCCCAAAACTGTAAAAGACTTATTTCTTGTCTCTTCCCAAGCAAAACGTGAGCTCTCTGAAGGCAGGGAACAGTTTGGACCCTGAATCAGCTGGGGTGCTTTAGGTGCAGGATGTCGGGATGTGGAAGGGCTCACACAAGCAAAGGACAAGCTGGTCAGCTACGACTCAGGAGGGACCCACACCAGGGTGGCTGGGGAGCGCTGGGTCACAGGCACCTGCAGCTAGCTTCTCCAGGGCACTGCCATCAGAATGATGAATCCAGGGCCGGCCCGTGGCTCACTCGGGAGAGTGCGGTGCTGATAACACCAAGGTCACGGGTTCGGATCCCATATAGGGTTGGCCGGTTAGCTCACTGGTTGAGCGTGGTGCTGACAACACCAAGTCAAGGGTTAAGATCCTCTTACCGGTCATCTTTTTCTAAAAAAAAAGAATGATGAATCCATCCCAGCTACTCCTCTTCCTGTGTCCCTGTGCTCAAGATTCAGAGTCCCAGATTCAAAGAGAAATTGGCCAGCTTGGGAGCTGTGCTCCACGTCATTGGGAGTGGGGAGGTCAAAGCACTCATGGTGCCACTGAGGCTGTGCCCAGTGGAGGAGGGCTATTCCCCAAAGAGCCATCTAGGTACTGATGCCACATCAAGGGAGAATAGATGCTAGGCAGGTGTGTGTCCAGTGTCTAGTACAAGATTCCCTGACCAAACTCTAGCCAGCCTCCTGTGAGCCCTCTTCTTGACTAGGCCTCAACCTTGGCCTATAAGAACTACAGACTCAGCACAAATGACTTCATCCATCCCTCTCCCCCGACATTATAAGACTTAAACACTAACACAGTTTCTAATAGCTCAATGCCACATTCCTAGGGTGACCCTAGTCCCCCTAAAGTGCCTGCCTGAGAAAGCTAAAGGCTGCCAAAAGAATTTACTGTTTGTTCTAGCCAACACTTGACAACAGGCCCCTGACCACCTTTTATTAGAGCATTTACAAAAAAAAAAAAGGCTTACGGCCGGCCCGGTGGCGCACTGGATAAGTGCGCCACTTGAGAAGCGTGGCGGCACTCCCGCCGAGGGTTCGGATCCCACATACAGACCGGTTCCCGCTCACTGGTTGAGCGAGGCGCGGGGGCAACACCGAGGGTTGCAATCCCGTTGCCGGTCCCTGGTCCGGTACGGGGGCAACACTGAGGGTTGCGATCCGTTGCTGGACACGGAAAAAGACAAAAGACAAAAAAAAAAAAGGCTTACAATTGTGAATCCTTCCTCTGTCTCTTTGAGATGTGAAAGTATCTCCTACAACTCAGGAGTGTCATTCTCTAGGACCTGAGAGCCATTCCTTTGAAATATAATCATCAGGAAGGTCAGGGCCTCTGTCTCCCTATCTCTGTGGGAGGATAATAGAATCCTAACTTCAAAAAACAAAACAAAAACCCCAAGAATCCTAACTTCAATAATTGCCAGCTAAGGAACGCAGCTGGCCTAATCAGCATTTACACTGAGCAACTCTTTGTAATTTTTCACTTTCCTAATTCTACTCAAGCCCCCCCCCCCACTCCCTCATTCTCTCTTTAAAACACTAGTCACCGCTGTACAAATTGAAGTTTACTTCATGCTGGGCCCTCTTCCCTATTGCAATAGTATAGTATCGATTAAAATCTGTCCTTACCACTTTAGTGTCTAGCTTTGTTTATTTTTGACACCAGCACAGTGCCTGACTCACAGAAGCTTCAGAATTATTTACTGAGTGGATAATGTGTTGGAGGTCCCCACTCAGCACATTAAGTCTTGCACCCATCATGATAATCAAGACGAGTTGCAAGTGACAGACACCCAACTCAATCACCCACCCAAGTTAGTTGAAGGTGGGAATTCACTGACTAATGCAACTGGGGAACCTAGAGTTAATATTAGCCTCGGGCACAGCTGGATCTAGTGGGCCCAAACAATGCTGTTAAGACTATCTCTCACTCCCACTCTATGTCTCTTCAGAAGTTGGCCTCATTTCCTTCTGCCACAGACAGGCTCTCTCTACATAATGCAGAGATCACTGCCGATTGCCCATATAACATATTCCCTATGCTTGAAATCCAAAAGAATGCCCCTTGCTCTCTCAGCATCTATACAGTAATCTCATAGAATGCCTCTGATTGGCCCTGCTGAGTCCCGTGTCCACACCCTGCCTCCCGTGACACTATAGGATGAGGGGCACTCCCTCCAGAACCACATGGGGTGAGAAAGAGCCAGCTCCCCAACAGAAAATGTGGTGTTGAGCTGACAAAAACGACAGATATGAGAAGAGTATGCTGCAGAAGCTGGGAGGGGAGCCAATCAGGGTGGACGTTGGTGTCAGTGGGAGGAGCAGGTCTGAATGGGGAAGGCCGTGGGGACACAGGGAAGAAGTGTGAGCATCGTAGAATAGCCTGAAGCCCGGGGCTGGGAAAGTCAGTCTAGCAGAGTGTCAGTGGTGACTTAGAGCAGGGGAGTCGAGATAGTCCTGTGCAAGGCACTGCACTTCCATTAGTTAATCCTCCCAACCACCTTAGGTGGTGGGTACTATCTCCATCCCTGCTATGCAGATAAAAAACAGAGCTCATATACTCAAGCAATAAAATCATTGTTTAACTTTAAAAAAGAGAAAAAGAAAACAGAGCTCAGAGGGGTTCAGTAACTTGCCAAAGTCACACGGGTTGGAAGGGGCAGTGCTGGTATTTGACGCCGACCCAAGCTGGGCCACCCACGGCCGGAATCTGCACCGTGGACCACCACTATTCTCTCATCCGTTTGCAATACCGTATCTGAAAATGAAGAGCAAGGATGTAAGGGTGTCACCACGGAGCGACCTTGGGCGAGCCCTGCCCCTCTCGAGGCCTTAGTCATCACATTTTTGAAGTCGGTACAATCTCGCCTCCCGGAGTCGCAGCAAACACCTGGATCTTTGAATGGCCCAGGGAGCTGCACGCATGCGCGAGGCTCTGGGGGCGGAGCCCATGGGAGGGGGTGGAGACTCGCGCCTCCTCCGGGGCTTTCAGAAGTTACCTGGATGGTCGCGACCGGAGTTGGGGCGTTACTGATTGCGCGCGCGCCGGCCCCGCCCTCAGCCTCTTCGGGCACCTGTTGGCTTGAGGGCCCACTTGGCCGCAGCTGCCACCCAATAGGCAGCCTCCCTGACCCAGTAGGGCCCGCCCACCGTCCGGATCCTCCAATCCCCGGGCGGCCGCGGGCCCTCTCCCCCGGAGGACCCGCCCACCTCGGCGCTTCTTCCGGGTGGGGCCCTGGGCCGAGGCGATGGCGCCTTGGGCGCTCCTTAGCCCTGGGGTCCTGGTGCGGACCGGGCACACCGTGCTGACCTGGGGGATCACGCTGGTGCTTTTCCTCCACGATACCGGTGAGCCGGACGCCGCGCGACCCCGGACCCCCCGATCCCGCGGGCTTCCCCAAATGTGTGGGTCTCACCCGGTCCCCCGCCCCATCCCCAAAGACCCTGGGATTCACCCGATCTCCACCAGCTCCTGAGGCACTCTCCGTATCTGTCATTCCAAGAGCCACCTGCTCTCTGCCTGATACCCAGTCGATCCCTAAGTAATCCCAGCATCTTCCTGATCACTGCCGGATGACCTGTCCGTCCCAGGACCCCTCCTGTGCCCACCAGATCCTTCCCAGGAATTGACTCCCAACCTTCCCGGCTATAAGATTATGAGGATTGGCATCCCCCCCACACCCCCACCCACACCATGGCCACAAGCTGCCCAAGTCCAGGCTCCCACCCTTAGGCAAGGGAACACCCCTCTAAGGGAGCAGCCTGTCTCCCATCTTCCCATAGTAGCACCCATTCTCCCACCCACCACCTCCATTCCCATCATCCCCCTCAGAAGCCCCCTACCCCATGCTTTTACCTGCCACAAGCAGCCTCCCCCACTGCCACCGCAGCAGCCCCACTCCTCCCTGTTGGTCCAGACTCAGCGCCCCCCCAGCGGGGGCCCTTCTCACCTTCCTCCCAAGCCCTCAGTTTCCTCCACCACCTTTGCCCTTTATCCTAAAAACTTGCTCAAGTCTCCCCATCAGAAGAGGACCTCCTCTCCTCAATAACCCCCTTCCTTCTCTGCTGTCTTTTACAACCAAGGGGCACCAGAGTTGTCCACGTTCTGCTGTCTGGCTGTCACGCCCCTCACTGCTCGTTCCTCCTCCGCCCCCCACCCCCTGCCTTCCACAAATCCTCAGTCACCTCCTTGGGCTTAAACTCTCTGGACCCTTCATGCCGTGGGCTCCCGTCATGTCCCTCTGCAGCATCAGAGCCTGCCAGCCAGCCCTGCCCTCCTATGTCTCTGTGTCAACCATTTAAGAATTGGCCAATTCTCTCCCCCCGTCAAAGAACCAGAGACCTAAGACCTCTGCTCCCTCTCCCCCAGGTCCAGTCAGGTCTGGCCCCTTCCCTCCCCTCCCCCTCCCAGCCAGGACTTGTTCAGCCACTCTCCTCTTCCTCCTGGCCAGACCTCTCTGCCTCCAAGCATCCCCTCTGATCCATCTTCTCTCTAGCAGCAGGAGGGTGTTTGGAAGCTGATCTCACCCTATAACCTTCCATGGTTCCCTATTACCCTGCAGATAAGTGCAGATGAACTGCTCTTTTTTTGTTGGGCCTGAACTTCCCCCTCCTACACCCTGTGCTGTGGCCACACTCGGCCATTCATGGAACCCCACCTCCAGCCCTTTGCTCAGCCAGGAACACACTTGCCATCTCTGGCTGCACCCCAGCCTCACCCCGTCTTGTTCTGTCCAAGCCCCAGCCTCACTGTCCTCCTCTGGCCTCTCCAGAGCTGCGGCAGTGGGAAGAGCAGGGGCAGCTGCTCCTGCCCCTCACCTTCCTGTTCCTGGTGCTGGGCTCCCTGCTGCTCTACCTGGCCGTATCGCTCATGGACCCAGGCTACGTGAACGTTCCGCCCCAGCCCCAGGTAACCAGGGCCCCTGGGGGCTTGAACCCCTCCTTCTGCCAACAGGGGACCCAAGGCCCCAGTAACAGTCTCCATGCCAGGCCCTGTGCTGCAAGCTTCTGAGGGGCATCTCAGTGAACGCTGTTGCCAGTCCTAGAACCCCATCCAATGAGGAAATTGCTGAAGCCCAGAGAGGGGAAGCAACTTGCAAAGGTCACACAGCCTTGCTCAGTCCAGGGTGCTCTTCCGCACTCCACACCTCCATTCTGCATGAGATGGGCCCCAACCTCTCCACACCCAGCGATAAGGTGGCCCCCTAGAGAGACACCCCCCACCAGTGCCATCTGCCTCCCAAGGGGATCCCTGTCTTATACCCTGTCCCTCATTTTCAGGAGGAGCCCAAGGAGGAACAGACAGCCATGGTCCCTCAGGCCATCACCCTTAGGCGCTGCAGATACTGCCTGGTGCTGGTGGGTGATGCAGGGAACCCTGTGGGAGGGGCTGGATCAAAGTTGAGCCTCCCTGACCTAGTCCTGCCCCAATACCCTGACCTCCCCCGCCTCCAGGAAGGCCTCCCGGATTCAGGCCCAGACCCTCGCCCCCCTCCCTGCCCTCAGTGGCGGGTCTACACAGGGGCCAGTGCTGAGCCCCAACTCCCCTTCGTGCCCACAGCAGCCCCTGCGGGCCCGGCACTGCCGGGAGTGCCGCCGCTGCGTCCGCCGCTATGACCACCACTGCCCCTGGATGGAGAATTGTGTCGGGGGACGCAACCACCCGTTATTCGTGGCCTACCTGGCGCTGCAGCTGGTGGTGCTTCTGTGGGGCCTGTCCCTGGCATGGTAGGTGCCGCCATTGCCCAGGGCTTGCGCCCACAGTTGTATCCACAGCCAGGGCTCCCTGGTGTGCGGGAGGGGGAGAGAGGTGCCCTGACCTCCCCCAGCCCTGGGTCCCTGTCTCTGCCCTGCAGGTCAGGCCTCCGGTTCTTCCAGCCCTGGGGGCTGTGGCTGCGGTCCAGCGGGCTCCTGTTTGCCACCTTCCTGCTGCTGTCCCTCTTCTCATTGGTGGCCGGCCTGCTCCTGGCCTCGCACCTCTACCTGGTGGCCAGCAACACCACCACCTGGGAGTTCATCTCCTCACACCGCATTGCCTACCTCCGCCAGCGGCCTGGCAACCCCTTCGACCGCGGCCTGACCCACAACCTGGCCCACTTCTTCTGCGGATGGCCCTCAGGGTCCTGGGAGACCCTCCGGGCCGAGGAGCAGGAGGAGGGCAGCAGCCAGGCTGTTTAGGATCGCTGGAGGTGGGGCCCCCATCTTGTGCCTGAAAACCCAAGGGGTTGTACCCGGCTGGGGTCAGCCTGTAGAGGGCCTGGGGCCCCTCACTCCTGCCTGCTCCTCCCAGGCCTCAGAGCAGAGCTTTGAGACAGAATCCCCACCTCAGTGGGCAGTTCTCTCTCCCAAGAGAAGAGGGGAGGAACAGGATCTGTAGGGGGCTCGGGCACAAATGGACCCCAGGCTCCACCCTGCCCACAAACCAGGCTGCGTCCAGTGCACAGTTTTACAAATTTAATAATCCATAAAGCAAGTCAAGTATTAAAAAGACAAACCAAAACATTCCTCGCTGCAGTCCTCCTTCTGGTTCAGGTCTCACTGGGAGGCGGAGGCAGGGTGGGTGGGAGGGGAAGGGACACTGCCCAGTGACACTGCGCAAAGCCTAGGAGAGTAACCCTATGGCCACCACCTTGAGTCCCAAGGGCTCATAGCTCCCAGGCAAGGCCTGGGCCCCCGTGGCAGGGCACACAAGCGGGCGAGTGGAGGTTCTAGCAGTCTGGGGGGGTCAGGAGACGGAGGGGGGCTGAGAGAGACCCTCAGGGCTCCAGGAATCGCTGTGACACAAAATCAAAGTCCCGGAAGGCGGCCTGTTGGTGGGCAGTGAGGGAGCTGCGGGGGGCAGGTGGGGTCAGGGCAGGCGGCAACCCTGTGAACTCGCCCTCGAAGTAGCGCAGGTCTGCGGGGCCACAGAGGGTGGGCACGAAGGGAGGCAGCACGGTGCGGGCGAGCAGGGCCTGCCAGTCGGTGGTCTGGGGGCAAGAACAGAGGGGCCTCAGACGACCACCGGAGTGGCAGCCCTGGGGCACTCCACGCACCCCAGCCTGCCAGGTGCCGGGGCCAGTGCCGCCCAGCCACTCACCCTGAAGAATGGCTGGCTCTTGATCTCCTCAGCGTCCTGCTGGCCCGCCCCTAGCCGCTTCTCCGGACACTTCTGCAGGAGCTGGACAATAGGATAAGGGCTTGCTTGGGGCGTTTGGCCCCAGCACTGCCCACTCCACAGGGGCCCCTGGGAGCTGGGCCACAGGACCACAGGAATGGGTGGCAGGGGACACTCAAGCCATGAGCAGCTGTCCCACCCAGCCCAGCACTCTGGGTCTCACCTTCTGAATGAGTTCGAGCCCTTGCACTGATAGAAAGTGGGGGTACAGGGCGTCTGCGCTGACAATGCAATCAAATACCTCCTCCTCGGTGTCCCCTGGGAACGGGCACTGTGGAGATGGGGGTTCAGCGGGTGCATGGGCAGCCTCCCATCCTAAGGCCCAGCAGGCCTGCTCCAGTGCTCACCTCGCCCACCAGCATCTCGTAGAGCAGTACACCCAGTCCCCACCAGTCCACGGCTCGCGTGTAGGACTCCTGGGTAAGCACCTCGGGGGCCAGGAACTCCGGGGTGCCACAGAAGGTGCTTGTCCGGTCCCCGAAGCCAATCCCTGAAAATCAACATCCACACCAGTGCCTTCTCAGTGCATCCCATTCACCATAACTTCTGTGGCTGTAGGAACCCCTAGCCAAGACTTATGATCCCAGGTACCCGACCCGGTGCCAAGCCCTGCCCATACCCTAAGAGGAAGCTGAGTCTCAGCAAGTCACACAGAAAGTAGAACCCAGTACCCTCTCCCAGCCCTGGCCAAGTGCAGGAAGGACCAATGTGCCCAGCTGTCCCCTAGCATGAGGACTGGGGTGGGGAAACCAAGGTATCCATGGGTGGGGAAGAGACTTCCTGGGAGATGCCACTTGCCAACCACCCTGCCAGCCTGACTGGGTAGGCAAGGCTGGAGGATATGGATCCTGACAGGCGATCCCACCTTCCTTGCATAGCCCAAAGTCTGCGATCTTCAGGAAACCCTGGGCATCCAGCAGAAGATTATCCAACTTTAGGTCCCTGAGGGCAGGGGGGCAGGGGGGTGATCAAAGGGGCTGAGAAGGGCTGAGGCCCAGGGAATAGCAAGTGCCCCCAGAGCAGCCCAGGAGGAAGGCAGCATCTGCCTCCTTGCCCACCCTCCCCACCACTCGGCATCTCTGGGTCAGAAGTTACCTGTAAATGATCTTCTTCTCGTGTAGGAATTGCAGCCCCAGGACCACACAGGCCACATAGAAGCTGGAAGGGTGAGGTGTGGGAGAGTTCAGGCTAGGACAGGCACCACAGAGGCAGGGCAGGGGCACCACAATGGCCATGGCCAGAGTCAGATGTGGGCAAGAGTCTCGGACAAGCATCATGCCTGGGTTGGGGGACTCCCCCAGATAACGGTCCCAAGGTTGCCATCCACAGTTTACCCTTCTGGGCTTTTTTTTTTTTTTTTTTTTTTTTTTAAGTTGACCGGTAAGGGGATCTTAACCCTTGACTTGGTGTTGTCAGCACCACGCTCAGCCAGTGAGCAAACCGGCCATCCCTATATAGGGATCCAAACCCGGGGCCTTGGTGTTATCAGCACCACACTCTCCCGAGTGAGCCACGAGCTGGCCCCCCTTCCTGGGCTCTTAAACTGTGCCAGGGACTATGCCGCAGGTTCCACACAGCCTATTCTCTTAGCATCCGCCCAGCAGCCGGCAGTTGACACTCATCTGCCTATCTTTCCAACAAGGCTCTGAGGACCTGTCCGGGGACACACAGCTAGCGGCAGAGCTGATAAGCCAATTTAGGTCTCTAACTTCAGAGCCCACACTGGAGGGTAAAAATTAACTCCAGCTACCAGCCCATGTGCTAGGCAAGTTATAAATATTGCTCTCCTCTATGCAACACTTCCATGAAACAGGTAGTATCAGCCCAATTCACAGCTACATAAACTGAGGCCCAGGGTCACAAATGCTGTGAGAGTTGGTGCCAGGATTGGAACCAAAGCCTCTCTGACTCGTGCTCTTCTGCTGATGGGTGCCCTGCAGGAAGCAGGATGAAGGGAGCGCTTGCAGGGAAGCAGGGACGTTTGCTGGAAGAGGCAGGCAGAAGGATGGGAACCCACCAGGCCTGGGGCTCAGGGAAGACATCCTCATGGATGTGCATCATGAGGTCACCGCCGGGCACAAACTCCGTCACGAAGCAGGCGTGGCTGCAGGTCTGGAAGCAGGCAAGGAGGGACAGCAGAAAGGGGTGCCCCGTGCGGCCCACAGCCTCCAGGATGCGCTTCTCACAGTACAGACTACAGGGCAGGGTGTGGGTCTTAGAGGACAGGACAACCTCCACTGGCTGTGCACTGCCATCCACACGACACCCGGCTCGCTGGGTCTTCAGCCCAAATGCCAGGTGGGCAGAGTGCAGGTTTCTATGTATCCCAGGCTCACAGGGGTCACTGAGTCTGCACAAGCAACACTGTCCCCATTTCACAGAAGAGCAAACTGAGGTTCAGAGAGAGGAGAGGACCTGACCAAGGGCAACAGTTAACCATGACAGGCACTTTAAAGAGAACCCAGTCCCAGCTGGCCCCACAGGGTCACCACTCCAAAGCCCCAGGAAACTTCAGCTGCCTTCTGGATGCCCACAGCCTAGGCCAGCCATCCTGGCGACCCGCCAGGGCCAGGGCCTGGTTGCCTAGGGCCCCCCTCCAGCCCCACCGCACACCTCTCTATCTCATCCCGGCTGAGCACCTCCTGCTTCTTCAGTGCTTTGATGGCGTAGTATTTCCCCGTCCCCTTGAACTGGACCAGGAGGACCTGGGAACCAGAGAGAGGCTGGGCTCCAGCTGGGTAGTCAGGGGGAGCCTTTACTTCCCCCACTCACTACCCCCACAGGACACAGTGTCCTCCTAGCTAATGACCTGAGCCTGTCCACCCCGCTCCTCTGCACCCTCCTCAGCCCACTACCTTCCCGAAGTGTCCCCGGCCCAGCACAGCCAAGCAGCGAAAGTCCTGAAGCCGGGGGGGTTTCCTGTGAGAGAGAGGAGAGAGAGAGGGCACAGGAAGCCCCCTAGGATGAGGGCTGGGTCTCCATCCAGAGCCACTCCAAACCCTCCATGCCCAGTTCCGGGCTGTCCCCACCTGCAGCGAGGGCTCCCAGAGCTCCCTAGAGTCCGGCATACAGCTGGACCTCAATAATGTGGGCTTGGCAGATAAGAACGTGAGAACAAGCCAGTGCATACACCCAATGAGCCCCGGAGTGATGTGGGAATGGATCTGCAAATGCTCAAGTAAGTGGATAAACACCTCCAACGTGAACAGGAGCTGGGTGGGGTACCTGGTCGGGGTGGCTGGTGGAGGAGCCCCGGAGTGATGTGGGAATGGATCTGCAAATGCTCAAGTAAGCGGATAAACACCTCCAACGTGAACAGGAGCTGGGTGGGGTACCTGGTCGGGGTGGCTGGTGGAGACGGCCCGAGTCCAGTCCTGGGCTCCATGTGGGGGCGTTTGGTGCGCTGTGAGGGCAAAGGGCTCAGGGCAGGGCTGGCCTTCCCTCCCTCTTTCCCTCCAGGCCTGCCACCCCCACCCCCAGGGGCTACCAGCTCTCCCCCTCACCGGAATCTCCTCAGGGGTCACCTCCTGGGGCAAGTAGAGGCGCGGGGGCTTGGGTGGGGCCTTCATATCTTCTCCCAGGGGGGTTCTCTTGGGCAGGAAATTACTACGGGGAAGAAGCAGACACATGGCTGAGCACAGGCAGATGCAATAGCTGCCAGGCCGGACACACAGCCATGCAGAGAGACAGACAGAGAGAGTCCAATGATGTGCAATAATAGGGATAGAAAGACAGACACCAAGTGAACCTGGAGAGAGGTGAATGCCAGAGAAGCCTGCAGACCACAGGCTTCTCTGTGGCAAGGTGGCTCCTCACCTGGGGGAGGCAGGGTCAGAGGCACCTCGGGGTGTAGTCGGGGTTTGGGGGCACCCTTTGGGGGGGCTGATCGTGCTTGGGGAGCTGCAGGGGGGCAGTAAGTTCATGACCAAGCGCCCCCAGGCCGCCATGCTGAGGTTCATCTGGGAAGCCCTCAGGAAGTCCTGGCCTGGGGACAAAGGGCAATCTCAGTCCAGGGGCACCCTGACAGCTCCAGCCCTGCTCTCTACCTGTAAGCCCCCGTTCCTTCCATACCTCTGCGTTTAGAGAAAATGCGTTTCTGCCTCTGTAGCCGGGGCCTCCTCTCAATGACAGGGTCACAGAAGGTCACCTGCAGGGACAGGGGGCAGAGCTGAAGACTAGTTTGCTCCCACTCCATCTGCCACAGCACCTCCTCTGCCACTGGGATCCCAGCCCCAGCCCCCAGTGCTGACATATGCAAGAGCCAGAGGACCCAAAGAGATTAATTCAATGTCCTCATTGCAACCAGTGGAAAAACTGAAGCCCAGAGAAGAGAGACAGGGTCACACACAAGGCAAGACAGAATCAGGACCGGGACTCAGGCCTCCAGATGGGGCCCCTTAGAGAGGAGCTGGGAATGTCCACACCTCTGCCTGGGTGGGTCCTATGCATGAGTGGGTCACAGTCTTAAAGGCTCTTTCAAGCCCTGATTCACCCAGGGGCTCACCAGGTCAGAGGGCAGAGGGGAGGTAAGCACCTGGGCAAAGAGCAGCCCCTGTGGCACCAGGCTGAGGGAAAGCTGGTGACAGGCATTGTCCAGGAAGTCCTCGAGCCTCAAAAAGGCCACGCCACACAGCTGCCGCCAGTCCCGCCAATGCACCCCGATCTCCAGTTCCCGGGCCTGTGTCAGGGAGGCCAAACTGAGGCGTGGGGTGTGGCACCAGCCCTGACCTAGGGGGCCTTCTACCCCATGGCCTAAGGTTACCCCTTAGGGAAACCACACAAAAGGCAGCCTTACTCGCTCCAGGGGGATGACAAAGGTCTGGTCCCAGGACCGCTGGGCCACCTGCCCCCAGCCTGTCTGGCCCACAATGCGGTTGTCCACTTTCAGCACGGCCAGCACCTCACCTGTGGGGCCAGAGTTGGGCTCAGGACAGGCCTGGGGCAGGTGTCCCCTGCTGCTGCCCCACAGCTCCGTCCCTACTCACTGGCCAGCTCGCCTCCGCCACGCTGCTGCTTGGCCCTGGCCCGAAGCCAGCCCTCAGAGGGGCTGCCGGCCAGTGCAGCCACCGGAGAACGTCCAGGCACAGCTGTCAGCAGCTGCTCACAGCCCAGGAGGTGGACCTGCAGCGTCCCTGTAGGGGAATGTGGGTCGGGGGCACTGTCAGGTGCCATCTTCCCACTGCCACCACCAGACCACCAGTATGCCCTGCGACATACAGGAATGCCAACCTCTTCAGGAGGTGGCCAAACCCAGACTCCACTCACATCAGGCCTTGGTAGCCACCTGCCATCCTCACAAAGACCCACTGGCTCACCCCCCTGGGCACCCTCTGCGTGCCGGGACAGAAGGGACCCACAGGCAGAGGAACAGGACCCAGACCTCACCCAGCCTGCACAGAGCCGCAGGACAGGACGAGATGCAGCCCAGGACTCAGAGCCTTGAGAGCAGCACGGCAGGGTCAAGAGCCTGGGGCAGGCAGCAGGACGCCTGGCTTCCCATCCTGCCCCATTTGCTTCCTGGGCCTGTTTCCCCATCTGAACAGTGGGTGAGTCCCAGCTCTGCTCTACCTCCCCTGGTGGGTACGAAACATGTTTTGCCAACTGAGTGGGTTCATTTTTAGGGTCACTAGAGTTTGTCTATCAAAGGGTAGAGGAAACAGTGGGAACCTAGCAGCATTTTTTTTTTTTTTTTTTAAAGATGACCAGTAAGGGGATCTTAACCCTTGACTTGGTGTTGTCAGCACCACGCTCAGCCAGTGAGCGAACCGGCCATCCCTATATGGGATCCGAACCCGTGGCCTTGGTGTTATCAGCACCACACTCTCCCAAGTGAGCCACAGGCCGGCCCTAGCAGCATTTTTTTTTTTCCCAGAAGCTGGTCTGTATGGGGATCTGAACCTGTGACCATGGGGTTATCAGGCTGCGTTATAACCAACTGAGTTAAACAGCCAGTCCCCCCATACCCCAGCAGCTTTTTAGGACATAGACTGGGCCTAAGAGCACTATTTAGGGCAGCTGGGCTTGGGGCTTAGACTCAGAGAGACCTTGAGGCTCCTTTGTAAACAAAGACAGGTGCCCTAGTAGGAAGATCATCTTAGGCAGGACGTGAGGAACTGCGGTGTTTAGCTCCAAGTCGGAATATAGGGTGGCCCTGAGTAGTTGAACTCTAGGCCTTTTAACTAGCTGTTCTTTCTGCCTTCCTCAACTTGTCTCCTTGACCATAAGTACTGCCTTAAGTCCTCCAAGGCCAAACTCAGACGCCACCTCCTCCAGGAAGGATTCCTGATTCTCCAAGGCCATGTGAGGGGGCCTCCCCCAGCCCCTGCACTTCCTCCTCTCAGCTCTGCTCCCAAGGAAAGAAAGGGAAGGAGAGTCTGCAGTGGGAGGGACTCCTGGCTACCTGTCAGGGCGGTAGGCTTCACAAGTGTCCCTGAAGGCTGGGGGTTCCCAAGCACCGCAGTCCGCAGCTCTCGGGCCACTCTGCTGCGCAGAGGGTGGGCAGGAGGCAGTCCCTCCAGCAGCTGCTCCAAGGCCAGCCGCAGGAGATCCAGTTTCTGGGAGGACTCCTGGAGCTGAGCCTGGGCCTGCGTAGGCAACACAGGAAGGGGCAGGCCCATGGGTACCAGAGGGGAAATGTGCAGCAGCCCAGGCCACCTGGAGACACCCCCCCACCCTCCTACATGAGGATTTTACAGAAATGTGCCTCCTGTTTCCACTGCCACCCTGCATGGCCAGTCCAGCAGTGCCTCCCACCACTGCAGAGAGTGGTATGGGAACAAGCAGACCCTCAGAGAGGAGCAGCACGGAGGGGAGGAGACCACGGCCTGACCTCAGCCAGGGCCTTGCGGTCCTGTGCTCTCCGGCTACCAAGCAGCTTCACCACGTTCTTGGCACCCTCGGCGACAGCAGCCTCAATGCGCAGTCGATGCTGCAGCTCGTCCACCAGCAGCTCAGGGCCTGGGGGAGGAGGTCAGGCCTCAGCCCCGGCCCCGCCCTGCTCTGCCCTCTCTTTCCACTTCTCCAGGCCTCACCTGGCTCGGGAGACTCACTGGCCTCCAGGCTGCTGATCTTCATTCGCAGCAGGGCCACCTTCAGCTGGCTGTCCCGCAGCATCTGCTGGGCAGCTGCCAGGAGCTTCCTCTCCTATGGGAACGTGACATATGTCCCATCAGACCAGGGCTGGGCCAGAGCCTCCCCAGTCAGACCAGAGATGAGAGCCAAGCTTCTCCCATCATACCAGGGTTAAAGCCAAACCTCCTTGGTAAGCCAAACACTAGAGCCAAGCCTCCCTTGTTAGACTTGAGGGGGGTGAGGAGGGCAGAGTCTTCTCCATCAACAGACTGACGAGGGCTGGGTCAAGCCTCCCCCATCAGATCAGGACCAGGGCTAAGCCCTCCTATCAGTCAAGAACTGGGGCCCAGCTCCCCACATCATGCTGGGAGTTGGGACTGGGGACTGGGCTGAGATTCCATTAGAATAGTGTTGGGCCTTCTCCATTAGACTGAGGGTTACAGCCACACCTTCTCTACCCAGCTGGGATTTAGGGCTGTATTTCCCCCATCAGACCAAGGGCTGGGACTGTATCTCCCTTATCAACACAATGGCTGGATTGCATTTCCCTGTCAGAACAGGGGCTGGAGCTGTGCACCTCCCCTAATATCTGAGAGCTAAGTCTCTCCTACCAGATTGGAGGCTGGGTTGTGCCCCCCCATCAGACCCAAGGGGGCTTACCTTGGAGGTACCACTGGCATATGTGTAGGTCATGTTCTCAGCCCCCTGCTTTACCTTCAGCTCCACCTGCAGCTGCCTCCGTAGGGCCTCCAAGTGCCGAGCCCTTGGCTGTTCTGCCCACAACTGGGGTCCTGAGGCCACAGGTTCTGTGCGCAGGGAGTGTAGGGCACATAAACCCATCACCCAGAGCTGAGACCCCCACCATGGCCTAGCTCCCCCCTCCCCTCCTGGGCACAATGGTCAGGGCCAAGGTCAGGCGCTGGCTTGGCCTGGAGCTTCCTGTCCTGAGGGCTCTGCTCAGACTCCCCACTTACCAGCCGGGCCAGGCCCAGGGCCGGGCAGCAGGATGCGGGCATGCAGCTCCCGCAGCTCGCCATGCAGCTGCTCCAGACGGCGGTTAGAGGACCGCAGCAGCTGCTGCACGTGGCCCAGGTGACGGCGGTCTGTGGCCACACGCCGCAGGTTCTCCACACCCTCCTTGATTTTCAGCTCCTTCTGGATGGCTCGGCGGATCACCTCTTTCTCATCCTCTGGGGGCGCCTGGCCCAGCTCAGGCTGCAGAAGGGTGGAGGGGAGTCAGACCATACAGCCCCCACCAGCTGCCTCTGCTCACCACAGACGAAGGGTGAGGAGTGGACGGCACCCAGGACTGAGTCCTCCCGCAGGGTGTGGGAAGCATCTCTGCCCTCAGAGCTCAGCACCCCTGCTCCAGATGGAAACCCCAAGACCATATAGCTAGTCCATGCTCATGTCCTCTGCCATTGTTGGGGAGTGGGGGGGATTGCTGATGCTTATATGGTGCTTACTGGGTGCAGGATCTGTTCTAAAAGCTTTGCATATATTAACTCATTACTCCTCATAGCAACTCCACCAGGTAGGAATAGTTATTACCCCCATTTTATAGCCAAGAAAACTGAGGCACAGAGAGGTTAAGTAACAAGCCCACAGTGGCAATACAGAGAAGAAACCATCTCTTTGGTCCCAGGCTATCCCTGCCAACCATGTGTAATCAGGCTGCTCTCTCTAAATCTGGGATCCACAAAAGAATCTCAGAGCTGGAAAAAGCTCAGCGCTGAGAAAGGATTCACCCAAGGTCACATGGAGAAGGCAGCCGGTGGCCTAAGAGGCCAGGGCTTGTTCGCCTGACATCTTAATGCCACAGGTGGTAAAGCAGAGGTACAGAGAGGGGCTGAGGAGGTCTCCAAGTGCTGACTCCCAGCTCAGCTCCTAGGAGGAAGCAGAAAGCTCTCTCACCACTTCCCCCCAGGTTGGAGCCAGAAACAGGAAAACCTCCTTCCCAGAGGCTGATATTTCAAACCAACCAATGCCAAGGCTGACCTCAGCCAAGGGAAACACATGATGTCTGCCCCCCAACATGGATATTTGCAGAGACCCTCATCTTACCTTTCTGCGTTCCATCTCCTGAGCCCAGTGGAAAGTATGGCTACCCCAGCCTTAGGGACCCCCACCCCAGACCTTGGCTGGGCTGCTGGCCCGGCTGTCAGAGGGCAAGGGCGAGGCTCAGGAAATCCTCTGACTGCCCTAGGCAAGAGGGGCCAGAGCCAAAGGCCTCAGCAAACAAAGGTCCCATGGAGCTGGGGGCCTGGCCACCAGGGTCCTGAGTCACCCAGCCACTGCTGCAGGGCGGAGGCCAGTAGGAAATCGGAAAATGTGTACAAGCTATGGCTGGAACAGGCGGAGGGACCTCCGGAGGAAGGGGGTGGGTGGTACAGGGAACCAGTCCTGAAGCTGCCTAAGCGATTGGGGTGAGGGCACTCAAGGAGTCTCTGTCTGCTACACCTCACCCCTGAATACATGGTCCTGTCTGCTCTGGGCTGGAATCCCTACACGTACACACACACCTCCTCCTTCCTGCACTGTGCTGGGACAGTATGTTGTCCACGGATGTCTCACACACACACACACACACACACACAGCTTCGGCCCTCTGGGCCTATGCACGCCTATTGCCACCTCTGGGCAAGAACCCCTGCGCCCTCCGCATCCTGGAGCCCTCTGTGACCCGAAGGTTGCCGCAGGGCACTGGGCTCACCCCTCCCCTTGCATACACACTCCTGCGTGCCACACGTGCTCTGGGAAGGTCCCCTCCCCAAGGGCCCGCACCGGCCCCCCTTGGCTTTCCCGGCTAATTCCCATCGGCCTTGGAGTCCCACCTAGAGAACCGATCTTAGGAAACTTTGGGGCCCTCCCTGGTGGCTCACACTGCGGATTAGACGTGCTCATGGGCTGGCCCGCCTAGAGGTTCTGAGTCACCCGGGGGCTGATTTAGGGGCGTTTCCAGGGGGCACGAACGACCTAACTCAACGCTCAGGTCTGGCCTGAGAAGCTGTCGCGGGGCCGGAGGCCGGGGCTGGGTCGGGGCGCGGCGCTGGGGACGCGGCCGGAGTCGGCGCGCCCGGGACGGTGAACGAGCTTCCCCCGCATCCCCTCGGCCCCCGCGCGCAGCCCGGCCTCCCCGGCGCCGTTCACCTGCCGCGGCGCCCCCTGCTCCATGGCGCCGCTCCAGCCGCTTGGGCCCCATG